TATTCACTACACTTATTTGAAGAATGGCCATGTAGTGAGGGTTACATTCCAGTGGTGTGCAGTGTCCAGGGTATGCTGAGGGCAGCTAGAAAAAGGGATAACACACTGCGCATGCGCACAGTTTGAATGGTCCAGATTGGCTGCTACTGAGCTAAACTGGAGCCAGGAAAGCATGTGCAGTGTGCACGCACCATTACATCATTGTATTATTCAGCCGATCAGCAAACTATGTTTCTTCCCAACAGCTGCGCGTGTAACCGGTAATGGAAGGACTTCTTTTTTTTTTTTCCCATTCTTTATTTATAAGAACAGTTTTTACATAAGATGTGATCAGTAAAATGGAAATACAACATGTTGTGGTCAGACCCATACAGAAAAACACACCACAATATCACAACACATTCGACGAACCCACCATGGGGAGAACTCCATTGGGGATTCTGTTCTATTGGCCATGTCATCCTGCAGTGCATTAAGATATAAATTAGTTGTATCTTGATCAATAACAATAAAGGTGAAATACATAGTTCAAAGAAAATCTTTACAATTCCACGCTATGGTATATAAAGTTATTGATAAAAATTGAAAGAAAAAAATATTCAAATCTACATGAGCAGCCACCACAGCACTGCAGGCAACAATACACATAAAATGATATACAAAATGTGGCACTTCAAAACATTTTTCAACTTAAAAGTCCAATCCACAAAAATGAAGAATATAGAATAAGCCCCTCTTCACTGGAACCTCAGTGTTGCTATAGATGTCTCAAAAATAGCCAGGAGAAGATAGAGAAAGGTCCACCATCACCAAACACTCTGCCTCTTACCAGATCATATTGACCCCAAGTTAAGGATGGGTCAAAAACGCTGTGTAAGTTGGACGCTCTTTGGTTCCAAAAGAGCTATAAGATGAACCGCTCTTTGGTTCCAGCTTTCACATAAAATAGTGGACTATAAGATGAACCTAGACTTTGGTTCCAAGCTTTCACATCAAAGAGTGGACTATAAGATGAACCTGGATGCTCTTTGGTTCCAAGCTTTCACATGAAATAGTGGACTATAAGATGAACCTAGACGCTCTTTGGTTCCAAGCTTTCACATCAAAGAGTGGACTTTGGTTCCAAGCTTTCACATGAAATAGACTACCTGGACGCTCTTTGGTTCCAAGCTTTCACATCAAAGAGTGGACTTAAGATGAACCTGGACAAGCAAAGAGAGTGACTATAAGATGAACCTGGACGCTCTTTGGTTCCAAGATTTCACATCAAAGAGTGGACTATAAGATAAACCTGGACGCTCTTTGGTTCCAAGCTTTCACATCAAAGAGTGGACTATAAGATGAACCTGGACGCTCTTTGGTTCCAAGCTTGCACATCAGAGAGTGGGCTATAAGATGAACCTACAAAGGAATTATCCTCATAGCGGACAACCCCATTCAAATCACAAAAAGAATCCTCATAGTGTAGTAGGATAATTAGAATTTATTGCCTCAAAGCATAGTCATGAACGTACTGTATATCAATCAAGATATAAAACAGCATGTAATGAATGGTAAGTTTCTAACCAACAAGATGGCCACCACATTCCGGTATGTGCTGACGTCACGTGCTCTGGCTCCTCCTACGCATTTCGTCAATGACATCGTCACATACTTGGCCCACTACCAAAATTGGGGGTTGTAAGTGTCTGACCTGGAGGTAGAACTTGAGTATGAAGACCAAACCGATGTGTCAGATGTAGGAAAAAAAAGACTGAGGGGAAATAAAATAGTGGGGAAGAAAGGGATGGGGAACTGCGTTGGGCGGGAAGGAATCCTTGGTGAATAGTGGTCTTAAAGCAGAACTCTAGTCAAAACTTTTATTTTCCCATGCAGTGGGGCTCGTTTTGTCCAGGGGCTTAGGGAAAAGCTGTACTTACCCAATACTCTGATCCTCCAGAAAACCATGCTCCCTTATGTCCAGCGGTAATCTCTTCTTGCCATCCTCATGTCATGGTCTATGGGCATGATGACGTCAGGAACAGCCCATTCACAAGAACTCTAGCATGCAGGACGAGGGGGCAGGAGCAGCAGGGACTTGTCTTGCGCTCGAGGAGGATAAGGTATGCATATCTTTACTTTCTGAGCCCCTAGACAAAAACAAGCATTTAACTCATGCAGTGCAGGCACAGCCCCACTGCATGGGAGAATAACCATTTTACCCAGAATTCTTCTTTAAGACCTTTTAATATTTAGACAGCCAGAAAAAGGTTTGGTGAAATATTAATAGCTATCTATGGGTTCCCTGGTATCGGGGGAGGTGTATCTACCATTTGTTTATACTCTGCAGAATAGGAAAAGTCCAACCAATAAAACCACAATTGTGTAAGTTTGGGTAATGGGAGGATTTTCACCAATCCCAACAGGAGAAGCTATGATATGTCTTATTCATTGCCTATAGAACTGCATAGGGGGATTTTCTAAAAATCTTCCTGAAAGTGAAATTACACTTTAAAAATAATAAAATATCGTTTCTCCGCATCTGTCCTAATATCAGCCTTCTGTAGTAACTTGCACAGCAATACTACAGGAACAATTGAGTACTGTCTGTGATACTTTTTTATTTGCACTAACATACAATTTTGAGGACAAGCTTTTGGGGAATGTCCCCTTCTTCAGGTCTAAGCAGTACTGAAACAAAGATTTGGCAGAATGTTGGAAGAGATGAAAGCCTGTCCTCAGAATTGTATGTTAGTGCAAATAAAAAGAAAGTATCACGGACAGTACTCAATTGTTCCTGTCGCAAATGTACTAATACGGCTACAATCACCTCAAGCACAGCAATAGTCAAACTGGAATAAGGAACAGTAGTGCTCTGAGGCAATCAGGGCTTTATTGAATTAATAGTTCTATCAGCCAAAAATCTTATTAGTCTAATAAGAGTAGAGCACAGAGTGATGACCTCATCAGCGTGCCGCTTCTCCTTTATTGTCCAATCACAGGCCGGTGACCAACCTTTACAGCTTAACTGCCATGTTGAAAGGTAAGGTCACAGACTGGCTCTGTTGTCTGAATCAATTGGCTGAACCAACTGGCTAAACATAGAAATCCTTTGGCAGGTAAGATAGAAAACATATATGTAATTCGACATTTCGTTTAGCTGCTGGCCTGGAGTTTAGCTTTGAGAACCATGACTATAATGCTGACTCTAGTGAATTTTTCCATTTTGCCTTACAAAGCACCACTTCCAGCGTGCTCTAATTCATTATTGTCAAGACACGGTTCTTGAACCCCCACGACTTCATTTTTTTCTTTCAAACAATGCTTCTTTCGCCATTACAACACTGGGACAACTAGAAACCTGTACACAGCAGCCATGGAAGCCCTCTCCGAGTGTTTTCTGTTCTCTTTTTGTCTGTCTTCTTGTACCACCAGCTCTGGCAGCATATGTAATCCTAGACCTGTCAACGGCCTCCTCTCTGCTGGAGCCTTTTGTTCCACCTTAAAGCCACCTCTGGAATCAGCATCGCCCCTCTTCTCTTTTTGTCTCCAGCTCAGAGAATAATAGGCAAAAACTCATAAAGATGTCACTGGGCCATGGGGTGCTTGTGTCTCATGTTTCGTCCCTTTGTTGCTTGCATGGGCTGAATTGGTGACTAATAAAGATCGCCAATGAAACGGAGTTCACTGAATGAACAAACTCCATTGGATCATCACAACTACTCAACCACATCACAGGGCTATAGAAACACTTTAAGTACAAAATTACTGCTGTGTCCAATGAATACGTAAAGAAGACCGTAAAAAAAAAAAAAAAAAAAAAAACTTTAAATATGCTTTAAGATACAGAATATTAATTATATGGTAAATCAAAACTCTGGGCAAGCAACTGAAAGCACTATTGGGTTTTTTTGTTTTTTTTTAAATGGTTGAACTGGATGGACTTTTGTCTTTTTTCAGCCAGACTAACTATGTAATACATATACAGTTATTGTTTTAACTGCAAGATTATACATATAGATGGTCATACAGTTTGCACACATTTGTTTTTTAAACCACTTGAATATGGGACACTTTAACCCCCTTCTAGTCCAGGCCAATTTTCAGCTTTCAGCACTGTCATACTTTTAGTGACAATCACTTAGTCATGCAACACTGCACCTATATGAATTTGTTATAATTTTTGTTGAGACAGAAAGAGTTTTCTTTTGATGGTATTTAATCACCACTTGGTTTTTTATTTTTTGCTATATAAATAAAAAAAATACTGAAAATTTGAAAAAAAAATGTTCTCTATTTTGCAAATAAATAATCTTTCTTCATAAATTTAGGCCAAAATGTACTGTTATTTTTTGGTAAAAATAACCCAAATCAGTGTATATTATTTAGTCTGTATGAAAGTTATAGAGTCTACAAGCTAAGGAATATATATTTGAAAATTGATAAGTTGCGACCCTAAAATGCCAGATGCTGGTAAGGTTTATGGCGGTGATCAGGATGTTGGTAGGAGGTATGATGGTGATCAGGATGCTGGTATGGGGTACGGTGGTGATCAGGATGCTGGTATGGGGTATGGCGGTGATCAAGATGTTAGTATGGCATATGGGGTGATCAGAACACTGGTATGGGGTATGGTGGTGATCAGGACACTGGTATGGCATATTAGATGAGTGATCAGGATACTGGTATGGGGTATGGAGGTGATCAGGACACTGGTATGGCATATTAGGTGAGTGATCAGGATACTGGTATAGGGTATGGTGGTGATCAGGATGCTGGTATAGGGTATGGTGGTGATCAGGATGCTGGTATGGGGTATGGTGGTGATCAGGATGCTGGTATGGTGGTGATCTTGATGTTGGTATGGCATATGGGATGATCACAGAACACTGGTATGGGGTATGGCAGTGATCAGGACATTGGTATGGCATATTAGGTGAGTGATCAGGATACTGGTATGGGGTATGGTGGTGATCAGGACACTGGTATGGCATATTAGATGAGTGATCAGAACACTGGTATGGGGTATGGAGGTGATCAGGACACTGGTATGGCATATTAGGTGAGTGATCAGGATGCTGGTATAGGGTATGGTGGTGATCAGGATGCTGGTATAGGGTATGGTGGTGATCAGGATGCTGGTATGGGGTATGGTGGTGATCAGGATGCTGGTATGGGGTATGGTGGTGATCTTGATGTTGGTATGGCATATGGGATGATCACAGAACACTGGTATGGGGTATGGCAGTGATCAGGACATTGGTATGGCATATTAGGTGAGTGACCAGGATACTGGTATGGGGTATGGTGGTGATAAGGGTATGGGGTTGGTGGTGATGGGTATGGCATATAGGGTGATCACAGAACACTGGTATGGGGTATGGCAATGATCAGGACACTGGTATGGCATATTAGGTGAGTGATCAGGATACTGATATTGGGTATGGTGGTGATCAGGATGCTGGTATGGTGGTGATCAGGATGCTGGCATGGGGTATGATGATGATCAGGATGCTGGCATGGGGTATGGCAGTGATTAGGATGCTGGTATGGGGTATGGTGGTGATCAGGATGCTGGCATGGGGTATGGCAGTGATTAGGATGCTGGTATGGCAGTGATCAGGATGCTGGTATGGGGTATGGCAGTGATCAGGATGCTGGTATGGCACCAGCAGCAAGGGGCATCACAGCTGCTACAGTGCCTTCAAAAAGTATTCATACACCTAGAAATTATCTACATATGTCATGTTACAACCAGAAACATAAATGTATTTTGTGATTTTATGTGATAGACCAATACAAAGTGGCACATAATTGTGAAGTGGAAGGAAAATGATAAATGCTTTTCAAAATGTTTTACAAATAAATATCTGAAAAATATGGTGTGCATTTGTATTCAGCCCCCTTTACTCTGATACCCCTAACTAAAATCTAGTGGAACCAAGTGCCTTCAAAAGTCACCTAATTAGTAAAAAGAGTCCACCTGTGGCCATTTAATCTTAATATAAATACAGCTGTCCTGTGAAGCCCTCAGAGGTTTGTTAGAGAACATTAGTGAACAAACAGCATCATGGAGGCCAAGGAACACGCCAGACAGGTCAGGGATAAAGTTGTGGAGATGTTTAAAGCAGGGTTTGGTTATATAACAAATTCCAAAACTTTGAACATCTCACAGAGCACTGTTCAATCCATCATCTGAAAATGGAACAAGTATGGCACAACTGCAAACTTACTAAGACATAGCCCATAATAACTCTGGAGGAGCTGCAGAGATGCACAGCCCAGGTGGGAGAATCTGTCCACAGGACAATTATTAGTCGTACACTCCACAAATCTGGCCTTAATGGAAGAGTGGCAAGAAGAAAGCCATTGTTGAAAGAAAGCCATAAGAAGTCCCATTTGCAGTTTGCAAGAAGCCATGTGGGGGGGACACAGCAAACATGTGGAAGAAGGTGCTCTGGTCAGATGAGACTAAAATGTAACTTTTTGGCCTAAAAGTAAAACACTATATGTGACAGAAAACTAAAAAACTAACACTGCACATCATCCTGAACACACCATCCCCACTGGGAAACATGGTGGTGGCAGCATCATATTGTGGGGATGCTTTTTTTTCAGCAGGGACAGGGAAGCTGGTCAGAGTTGATGGGAAGATGGATGGTGCCAAAGACAGTGCGATCTTAGAAGAAAACCTGTTAGAGTCTGCAAAAGATTTGAGATTGGGGCGGAGGTTCACCTTCCAGCAGGACAATGACCCTAAACACACAGCTCGAACTATTATGGAATGGTTTAGATCAAAGCATATTCATGTGATAGAATGGCCCAGACAAAGTCCAGACCTAAATCCGATTGAGAATCTGTGGCAAGACTTGAAAATTGCTGTTCACAGATGTTCTCCATCCAATCTGACAGAGCTTGAGCTATTTTGCAAAGAAGAATGGGCAAAAATTTCACTCTCTAGACGTGCAAAGCTGGTAGAGTCATCCCCAAAGAGACTTGCAGCTGTAATTGCAGCAAAAGGTGGTTCTACAAAGTATTAACTCATGGTGGGCTAAATACAGATGCACACCACATTTTTCAGATATTGATTTGTAAGAAATTTTGAAAACCATTTATCATTTTCCTTCCACTTCACAATTATGTGCCACTTTGTGTTGGTCTATCACATAAAATCCCAATAAAATACATTTACATTTTTGGTTGTAACATGACAAAATGTGGAAAATTTCAGGAGATATGAATACTTTTTTAAGGCACTGTATATCTAAAGGACATTAAATGAACTATGGTGGCACTAAGTAAACTTGTAAAATTCTTTTTGCTAAGATTGTGGTCATGCGCCTCTCTACAGTGATTGAGAACTTGATTGATGTGGATCAAACTGAATTTATGCCAGGTAAGGGCTCTGATGAAGAAGGTATGGCCTTCGAAATGCGTCAGCTGTACTGAGTGTCTACCCCCATGATGGCATTCGCGCTGGCTCCTTATCTTTGAAGTCCCTTCGAGGACTTACATGCCTGATTTTATTCGCTGTTTGTGAGTACCATTTTCTAATTAATACATTTTGGTTACTGAGGTAATGCACAAGGTTGGTGCGCTTCTCATTTTTGTTTCACTTTGCAGTATTGGTCAGGCTTCCCCAGCCTTGTTTGGAGCTGCACAACCTTTTATGCACTGGTGTTCGCTTTTTCCAGTTCTGGTTCCATCCATTTGCCACCCGCCTGGGTCCTAGAGCGCAAGGAGAAATCGCGTCTGGTCTTTTTGCTATGGCACTGGAACCCCTGGCAATTCTGATTCGAGATACTTCGGTGGTTCGGGGTCTGTGGGTGGGGTTGCTGGAGAAGATAACCCTGTATGGGGATGATGCTCTGCTATACCTTGGTGATGTGGGTCCATCCCTGTTGGCTGCATTGCATATTTTTGATAATTTCTGCATCTTTTTGGGTGTTAGAATTAATTGGTCCCTCCTCTTTCCCCTTGATGAGAGGGCAATTGCCAACCCTTCTCCACTGCGCTGGGTGGATGAAGTTAAGTACTTGGGGGCTATGGTTACTAAGGATCCGCACCATTATTTTGATCATAATCTTCTTCCACTACTGGCTTCTCTTAAGTCATGTTGTTCTGCATGGGATACCCTCCCTTTGAACCTCCTTGGTCGTATTAATCTCATTAAAATGATGCTCCCACCCAAGTTTAACTACATTTTTCGGAATTGTCCTGTCTGGGTCCCTGTTTCAATCTTACATGAGATTGATTCCTATGTGGGCTCCTTCATATGGAAGGGTGCAATGACCAGATTGGCGAAAACCACCCTTTGGCTTCCTTCTCAGTTGGGGGCGTTGGCTTTACCTCACTTCCACATATACTACTGGGCTGGTAATGCTGGTCTCTATATATTTGTAGTTTATGAGCCCTAGATCTAATTTGGCAGTGTGTTTGGAGGCTGCTTATCTGGGTTACTTTGCGGATTGAATAAATCTCAGGTTGCAGCTGTCCCTTTCTGTTTCCCCAGAGTTAGCCCTTCTGGGGATTCAGGATGATGAGCAGTGTTCCCATCATACCAAATTACTGATTTCTTTTTTACTTTTCTATGTCAAGAATGAAATCTTCCTTTGGTGGTCCTCCTCTACGCCCCTGCAGTGTCTGCCTAGGAGGCTATGGTAGATGCGGCCCTGCCCATGTATAAACTTACATATCTAAATAGAGGCTGCCCTTGGAAATATGATAAAGTGTGGTCCCCTTGGACCCCTTGAGTTATTAATGAATTATGAGTAATTAAATAGATTTCTGATTTAATATTGTCAACTGGCTTTTTATTCAGAAGGGTTTCCAGCATGTTTTTCCATATGGGTCTATCTAGAACAGTATATATTATCTGGTAAGTATGAGACCAAAGTGAAGGCTCTTCACACTTCAAAAACAATACCAAACAATATTGTGTTGCAAATGCAGCTATTTTTTTTTATGCAGTGTGGTAAGAATATACAACAAAGAAAAAACCAATACCAAGAAAAGTGGGACTTTTAAGGTATGATTCCTTAACAAATGAATTAATTGAATGTAAATGACTAAAAATGCCCAGTCATGGGCAGTATAAAACAGTGTATACAGTATATTTACATGCAGTTTTATACTGCCCATGACTGGGCGTTTTTAGTCATATACATTGAATAAAGATTTTATTTTATATGATTTCAATTGGTTGAATCACACTTTAAAACTCCCACTTTTCCTAGTTTTGGTTTTCTCAAAGGCCTCTCTTGCACTTCTATGGGATGTGGGTAATTATATGCCAAACTAACCATTTCCCCGGAGTGGTTGAAAAAATATACAACGGTTTATCCATCAGAAAATATACAAGAAAAAACGTGTTGTTTTGATTTTATGCAAGAACTGCTTACAAAGCCAATATAATTCATTATGTGTTTGCAACCTGTAGGCAGGTTGAAGTATGTTCTACTTAGGTGCTGCCCCGGATGGGAAGGTAAGGGTTAATGCCTTTCTCAGTTCGTTAGTTTTCTCTAGGTCCGATCCACCGATCCTGTGATATAAAAGAGGGATGGTGGTCCAGAAGAGAACGCACACAGAACCCCAGCCTGGGGGTCCCAAAGAAGATTGGGAAGCCAAACCTCTGTACCTGGGCTTTGCCCCCAAAGACACCAGCTGCTGGGAAATGTCACTAATGGACCTTTTAGCACATGGACTCTACCTTTCGCAGGTATGCCGGGGCAAGCACATAGCCTGCATTAGAAGTAGAGACATAGGAATAATCCTATTTTGCATGTTGGACTTTGAGATGTCAATTTTGCACTTATCCAAGTACAGCTGTGAAACTTTGTTCCTGGTCTGAAGTTACTCAAAGAAGTGTAATGGAAGTAACCAGCACCTATGGACTAAGGTTTGGGTCATGTAACACATTGGGGTATGAAGACAGCTCTGAAAGAATTATCACAGTGTAAAGTGTAAGACAACTTCTAGGGTAACAGAAGTTTGGCAAGCAGCCCATCAGTAGTGTGTACCTGTTATAAGTGGACCAGCCTACAGCAACGGGAGCAGATCTGCCTAGCAGAGGTCTCTATCCTGTACAGAGGTACGGAAGTTCAAGAACAAAAGTTAAGTGCACGTGTGGAGAGCCCACTCCGCAAGATGCTCAGCGTGGCCCACTCTGCTACAGGGGAATGGTGGTGGAAAAGGCTGGATAGGCGGTTGTGGACATGGCTCAAAGTGTCCCTCCTAATTGCAAGTCTACAGTGGGAAGAAGTACATTTACACGGGGACCAAGAGTTAACTAGAGAGCAGCTGTAGTGCAAGTGAACAGGGTGTATGTGCATCTCTAATAGTAGAGAGCGGTTTTAAGGTCAAGTATTCCCTGACGTCAACCCCATGTGTGTTGAAACTGATCCTGTTAGAGATGCCTAGCATAGCCCAGAAGAACCCACC